TGGTCGAAATTGCGCGAGGCATTCCAGAGTTTTGCTGGATATATATATAAATCACCGTGTGTGTGTGTGTATCTGTCTGCGTGTGTTCCAGCAAAACTCTGGAATGCCTCGCGCAATTTCGACCAAACTTGATGACTTACTCTCTGGAAACAAATACTGTGGGGGGGGGGGGGGGGGGACATCCCTACCACCCCTTGGGGTGTGTGTTCTGTTAAGATACAGCCTTAAAATGGCTTCTACTGTACTGCTGACAAATGGCTTCTACTGCGCAGCGCAGTGCAGTTGCCATGGTACTGCTTCACAGTACTCCACCAGGGGGCTCCCTCTGGAAAGGGGGGAAATCCCAACATTAGAAATTATGTTTGGTCTGGACATTTCCCCCCTATAAATAAATACCTGGGCTAGTATATACATAAAATGGACATTCTGGGTCAGGAAATAAGGGCCGATGGTCAGCAAGACACTCGCCTGCCAATCTCAAGGGTTAATTTGCAAGGTTAGGTAGGACAAGACGATCCTTCAATGAGACGCTTCTTCGTTTTGTTTTGGCTTTCTATAGGAGGTCCCGAAGTTGCGGCTTCCCTCATTTTTGGCACCTTCGTCATTAGCCTCTTCCTCATCCTCTGCGTCGCATCCTTCTTCTACCTCAAACGTGCCAATAAACTCCCCAATCTCTTCTATCGAAGAAGCAAAGGTAAGGTTTTTCTTTAAAAAAAATATATTTTTAGACAGACAGAGACAAATAAAACATAAAACCATCTTCAATTACATACAGTGTGTCGATTGGTTACAAGGTTTTTGTCCATCCTTTCCATCGTCATCACTTAACAATTTATATGAAATAACATATTATCAAGTCAAATATATTTGTATTACCTTATTATCATTATACAACATTTATTTAACCGCCACTATTATTCCTTCATTTTAAAGGCGATATTCTAGAGATTGGATTCATTTATATTGTAACAATTCATTACATCATCTTAAATCTATCAAATAATATATCTTTATGTTATATTCTTTATCACTCTATTATTCTCTCGTATTTGTAACGTTCTCTAACATCTTTCATTTCCATGCTTTTTTTTAAAATCTAACCACTGATAAAACAAATCCCACACCTTGTAAAATTGTTTATCTTCCAGTTTTCTAATTTCAAATGTCAATTTGCTCATTTCAGCACATTCCATTACTTTATGAATAACTTCCTCCTGCGTTGGCATTTTCTCATTTCTCCAATTTTTAGCAAATACAATTCTAAGCTGCTGTTAACACGTTTCCAATCAAATATTTCAATTCTCTATTGTATGTTTACGGTACATGATTCCCAATAAAAAGCTGGGTTTTGAGGGCTGGCTATTGCGGAGAAGATGATTGGGGACAGGGGTGGGTTTCAAAATTTACTACCGGTTCAGTGAGCGTGGCTATGTGGGGGGGAGGGAGGGGGGCATGGGACTGAGTGGGCATGGCCAACTTGATGTCACTCACGCACACTCAGTCGCAGGACCACCACAACCACCAAGCCATGCCCACTGAAACAGCGAATATCTTTGACGGGGGGGAGGAACCAGGCTGGGGTTAGGGTTAGGGTTAGCGCCCTGCTCTTGAAGTGGCAGCTGTGGCCAATGGGCTCTCGCTCCGTCGGCCCAGGACACTGCGTCTGCCTGGGAGAAGGAGCCCGGGGAGGAAGGAAACCGCCGTTTAGGCGATCTCGCCCTGCAAACCGGCGTCCTTCAGAAGCAACAGACCCAACGGGGGCAAGCGCTCCCCCCGGTGGGGCGGTTGTGCTTGCAGCTTGCCCACTCCTGGCCTGAAGCCTTGCGATTCCCCCCCCCCCCCCCGCGCGCCCGGCCAAGCACTGCTCACCTGTGCTGGAAGGCACCTGGCGATGCCGGTGGGTCTCCATGGCGATAGACAGTCGGATGTGACGCCGCCTCCTCCAGGTCTTTGAGCCGAGGCCTCGGGGCTCCTGGAGCGGCTCATGTGCGGAGTGCGCTCGGCTGATTCCGCCTACGCTTGGGCCGGAGGTGGCGGCACCGCGTCCAACTGACCGTTGCCACCAGAAGTTGTGAGTGCTCCATCACTGGGGGCTTTCAAGAAGAGACTGT